AATATATATTATATATCTAATATATTAATAAAAATATTATTATTAATTATAAATAATATTTTAAAATAAAGAAAATTTAGAAAAAAAATTAAGTTTATTAGAAATAAGTAATATACGTATATATTTAGATAGATTTTAAAAAGAAATAAGAGTTTTTATAAGAGATTTATAATATATATAACTCTCTACTCTATAGCTATCTATTTAATATATAAATTTAATTATTTAAAAGAAAGTTTATTTAATACTATATTAATAAGAAACTTTATTTTTTTAATATAATTGACTTTAAAAATAAAGATAGCTATATTATCTTAAAGCGAAAGTTAAAATTTTTAACTAATAATTTATAAATAATAATTTATAGAATTAATAGTTTTTTAACGTATTAGCGATTTAAATATATATCTAATTTTAAAAGTATAAAGATTATTATATCGATTAAGCTATTAAAACCACTATTTTATAATATTATTATATATATAATATTATAAATTCTTATAAGAGTTTATAAATAATATAAAAAAAATTAATAACGATTTAAGTCTTTATATCGATATCTTTATTATAATTTTTAATCTATTATATATTTATAGAATTAAAATTAAAATAGAAGTAAACTTTAAAACTATTAAAATTAAAAATATTTACTTTTATTAATATTTTAAAAAACTCGCTATTTTTTATATATATAATATATCTAAAATATTAGAGAATCTAGAATAGTCTATAAACCCTCTACTTATTATTTATAAACCCGCTATTATACGCTCTAAAAATAAATCTTTTAATTTTATAAAACTATTTATATATATAGAACTCACTTTTTAAAACTCTATATATTATAAATTATTAGAATTTAAATAAATAGAGAAGTATTTATTTTAGCGAAATAATAATATTATATTAAATTAAAGTATATAAAATAGTTATAAATATAAACGAGGATATAAATATAGATATAGATATAATAATATATCGATTACTACTAATTAAATAATCTTAAAAAAATTATTATTATTAATATATACTTTAAAGTTATAATTATAAGAGATAAAGCTATATAAGATAAATAGCGAGATAAAATTATAAAAGATAAGATTATATAAGATAAATAATAAGATAAGACTATAAGAGATAAGATTATATAAGATAAATAGTAAGATAATTAATAGCGAGATAGTTAATAACGAGATAGATATAATACGCTAGTCTATATATAAAATAATAAAATAATATTTAATATCTTTTAGCTATAAAAAAAATTAGATAATTAATAAATAATAAATATTTAAATATAATAGATATATTTTTAATGATAATAAAAGAGAATAGCTAGCTAATTAACTATCGCTATAAAAAAATAATCTAAAAATCTTATTATTTAATAATTTAAAATTATCTAATCTTTTAAACTTTATTAGAAAAATCTAAAAAAACTTATTTTATTACTATTAAGAGTTTTAATAATATTCTTTAATAAACTATATATAAGATTTATATCTTATATAATTAGCGATTACGTAAAAGCTATTCGAATCTAGAGGGGTATATATATATTCAAGGGGAGTATATATATATTAAAAGGAGGTATACGTATATCACATTTCTAAATCAATCAATCAAAATCATATAAAGAAATATCTTTCTTCTTCGTGAAACTACTTTCTCGAAGTATATATATACTTCTTATATTTATAATCTTAATAAATAATATATAAAAAAGAAATATTAAAAAAGAAATTAATATAAATTTTAAAAGAAGTAATATCTCGCTTAATTATAAATTAATAATTATATAAATAATTTCTAATATAAATAAACTTAATTTAATATTTTTAAAATAGATCGCTTTTTTTAAATATTACGCTAATTTTAGATTAAATAATAATATTTAATTATTTAAATTTACTATTTATTTAAAGATTTTTTAATATAATATTTTTTTAAATATTTTTTTAAAGAGATAAAAGATTTCTATTTTAGAATTTTAGAATTTTATATTATAATTAAAATAAAGATAAGTATAATAATAATTATTATATTCTATATTATTAAAAAAAAGTTTAAATATAATAAGAATAAATTTATTAAATTTATTTAATAGAAGATAAATATTAAAGTATAGAGTAAAATTATTTAAAAAGATAATTATAAATATATAGTTATTATAAAAAATATTAAATAATTTTTAAAAATTAATATAAATTTAATTATTTTTTTATTTTTTAAAAATAATATAGTATTTATAAAATTTTATTTTAAAATTAATTATAAAATATAACTTATAAATATTATTAAAAGAAAATTTAAAAAGATTTATTCTAATATATATTTTAATTATTTGAATATTCTAAGTATTTAAGTAATTTATATAAGTATATTATATATATAGAGTATTCTTATTAATTTAAATATCTATTAAAGAATTTTATAGATTTAATAAAAGATTTATTATAAATAATTTTTTTTTATTAATAATAATTAAAATTAAAGAAATAATTTTTTAAGTATTAAGCGTATAAAGATAACTTTAAATATATTTTTAAAAAAATTATTATTATTTTATAGAAAAATCGTTAAAAATAAAAAAAATCGAATATTATTATTTCTTTAATTATTTTTTAAAAATAAGATTAAAATTATATCTAGATATATATTAAATATAATTAAAAATTTAAATTTACTTAACACTCTTTATTTTATATTTAAAATTAATATTATTAAATTTAAAAACTATATAATTATTATTAATAAGTTTATTAATAAAGCGAGATTCTTAGAATTTAGAGAAAATTTTAAAAATTATAAAATTATAAATAACATATTAAATATAAATAAAATTATAAAATTAAAAAGAGAATATTATTATTATAATAGAAAGTATAAGGATAAAACTTTATTTAAAAACTTAATTTTAAAAGATTTATAAAAAAAAGATTATTTAAAATTTAAAAGTTAATAATAAATATAATAATAATATAAATAATAAAATAATATATTATTATAAATTAAGTAGTTATAATAATTATCTTAATATTAAAAAATTGGTTTTTTAAATTTAAATTTAATATTCATATTAATATTTTCTTAATTATTTTTTTTATTTTAATCGCTATAATTATTATAATCTTTATTTTTAAAATCTTAAATTTTTTTCTAAATATATTTATATTTTAACTATTTAAAATATTTTTTAATAAAATAAAAATTCTTATTATAAATAATATAGAATTTATAAATTTATATTTAAATATAAAAATTAATAAAATTAATATTATCTTAAATATAATATTTAATTAATATAAACGCTATAAAAATAAAAATAAAAATATTTATTTTAATATAAATAATTATTATATAAATATTAAAAAATTTAATAAAATTAATAAAATTAAAAATAATATTAAATTATTATATTTTAACGAGTAAAGGCCTATGAATTAAATTTATAATCATTTTTTTTGATTAGGGCTATCGAGTAAATAGGTAAGCGATCTTTAATGAGCGAACTTTGGTAAGCGGGCTGTCCGACTGTCGAGCGAACTTTGATAAGCGATATTTAAATTCCTTGCGCTTTAATAATTATAAAATTAAATTTAGAACTTATATTTTTATTAGAAAACCCGCATTTCGTTCTATAATTTAAAAAAAAATCTCAAAATTTTAATAGAAGATAAAAAAGTTATTCTAAAATCAAGTAATATATACCTTTTTTTAATTAAGGCTATTCGACTACATTTTTTTAATAATTATAAATACTAATTTATTTATTCGCGATAATTTAGTCGATCTAATCGAAGAGCGTAGTAACTCTAAATTTATAATTAGCTATATATATAAATTTAAGATTTTTAAACTTAGTCTTATCTTATTCTTTTATATATACTAATATAAATTAATATAAATTTAAAAGATTTATTTTTATTATAAAGATTATAATTTTAATTATAAATTTTATAATATTAATTATTTAAATTATTTAAATTTTTATAAAAATAATAAATTTTTTAACTTTTATTAATAATAAAAATATATTTTTTAAATAAGTTATTAATTTTTTATAATAAATTAATAAACTAATTAATATAGATTTATAATTTATTTTTATAAATAATAAAAATAAGAGATTTTAATTAGTATATATAAAAGAATAAGATAGGGCTAAACTAGAAAATCTTGAATTTGTATATGTAGCCAATTATAAATTCGAGTTCTCTACGCTTTATAGCTAGATCGGCTGAGTTATCGCGGATAAATAAATTAGTATCCGTAACTATCAAAATCTCGCCCTTCCGCGCCTTCTCATTAAAAATTAGATATATATTATTAACATATAAAATAACTTTTTTATTTTCTATTAAAATTTTAAGATTTTTTTTTAAATTATAGAATAAAATGTGGGCTTTCAGATAAAAAAAGATTTTTTAAATTTAGTCTTATGATTACTAAAGCGCAAGGAATTTAAATATCGCTTATCAAAGTTCGCTCGACAGCCGAATAGCCCGCTTATCAAAGTTCGCTTATTAAAGATCGCTTATCTATTTACTCGATAGCCTTAATTAAAAAAAAAATTATGAATTTAATTCATAGGCCTTTACTCGTTTTTAAATAATAAAGTTAAAAATATCTAATTCGCGAAATTTATATTTTTTTTAATTTTTTTTAAATAATTATAATATTAATATAACTTTTAATAAAATTATATAAATTATTTTTATAATAGATTTTTATTATAATATAGAGTTTATAATATACTATAATATACGAGTAAAGGCCTATGAATTAAATTCATAATCATTTTTTTTAATTAGGGCTGTCGAGTAAATTTGGTGAGCGAACTTTTAATAGGCGATATTTAAATTCGTTACTTTTAAACATCCATAAGACTAAATTTACTAATTCTTTTTTTATCTAAAAGCCCACATTTTGTTCTATAATTTTAAAAAAAAATCTCAAAATTTTAATAGAAAACTAAAAAGTTATTCTAAAATCAAATAATGTATGCCTTTTTTTTGATCAGGGCTGTCCGGCCACCAGGGGGTGCGATAAGTGAGTAAGGTAACTAGGCCGGATTTGGACTGCAACCAAGGCAACATCGCTTATTTTATTTATTTGTTCCCATCATTCTTACACTTATTTCTACATATTATAGCCCCACCACACACTCCTCGTAAGCCAAAGACTTCAAAAACAAGCCGTCGTGAGGGCGATACCATTAAGAAGACTGAGTTGTTCAAGGCAGTGGATTCTCGAGGCCTTAAGCCACTAAGATTAGTGTATCAGAAGGAGAAGATTAAACCCTCTACAGCAGAACTTTGGCTTAGACAACGGCGTCAAATCGTTCTAGAGGTAGCCTATCGAAGGACTGGTGCATTTCGTATGGGACGACCACTCAAAATACCGGACGAAAAGCTTACAGAAATACTGGATTCGAAGAACAATGCTCGTGACGAAGGCTATGAACGATAAATTGAGATATTCTCTCTAGAATGTAGTGTCAGATGCCTACAAAACTCGCTTCGGACGAGAAGATCCAATGCCAGGCTGTACAAGAAGGCCAAAACTAAGTGGGTTTCTCAGCCAAACAAGATTTTTCGGCAGGATTATAGCCATAATCACGGAGATCAGACAGTGGAACAATTTTGGGCCTTCGTTGGTTGGACGGATAAGGCACACATAGACCCTACTACTATGCAAGCAGACTATATACTCAGAGAGGAAGGTTTAGATCAGCGTTACGCTCCCGAAAACGTAGCTGAAATACCGCCACTTGAGGGGGTCAGCCTGCATATGTCAGCCTTTATCTCCTATTATCATAAGGGCAAGCTACAGTTCTACAACGATCCGGACGACGTCCCGGAGCTGAATATTGACGTACATGTGGATGCTCCTAAGAGAAGACGGCCCCCAAAACAACGAAAGAATGAGACCGAAGAGCAATTCTATCAGAGCGAACGATACCTACAATGGGTTGCAGCGGAGCCTCATAACGTCGATGTACAGCCGAAAGGGAATTCTATGACTCAATTGTTCTACACGAAGAAGATTCTACCGTCACATCTTGAAGAAATGCAGGAAGTCGAGCAAAAAACGGGCCAAAAATGCATTCTTCAGGAGGATAATAACCCAAGTCATGGCACTCGCTCAGCTGTCAACTACGCTCGGGCTTACAAACAACGGCATGATATCAAGACACTGAGACACCCCGCTCAGTCACCGGATCTGAATCCCATGGAGGCCGTGTGGAATATCCTCAAGCAAAGAGTACGTCGAAGGAAGTGGAAGACAAAGGATGACTTAAAAAGAGTCATTCTCGAGGAGTGGGAGGGTGTTTCTCTGAAGGAAATCCAGGCTAGAGTCGACGAGATGCCTGAGCGATGTGCCTGGCTAGTAAATAATGATGGTAAAGGCATTAAGTCGGCGACATGATAATCAAGTAGCATGAAATAGACGGAAATGTAGCCATTCAATGCTGGAGAAGCTATGTCCAAATCCGGCCTAGTTACCTTACTCACTTATCGCACCCCCTGATGCGGCTGTCCGCGATCTTTGGTGAGCGAACTTTGGTGAGCGATATTTGAATTCCTTGCGCTTTAATAATTATAAGACTAAATTTCATAATTCTTAAAGATTCGGAAAGCACAAATAGCGCTTCAAAGTTTAAAAAAAAAATCTCAAAATTTTAATAGAAAATAAAAAAGTTATTCTATATGTTAATAATGTATACCTATTTTTTTGATAAGGGAGGCGCGGGAGGGCGAGATTTTGATAGTTGCGGACGCTAATTTATTTACCCGCGGTGTCTAACCAAAAAGCGTAGACCTAACGAATTAATGATTGGCTGTATATACAAATTCAAGGTTTTCTAGTTTAACTCTATCTTATTCTTTTATATATACTAATATTATAATATCTATATTAAAAATATTTTTAAAAATATTTTTTATAAATTATTAATTAATTATAAATTTTATAATAACTATAAAATAAGAAATTAATTAAATTATATTAGTATATATAAAAGAATAAGATAGAATTAAGCTTGAAAATCTTAAATTTATATATATAATCAATTATTAATTTAGATTCGCTACGCTTTTTAATTAGATCGATTAATTTATCGTAGATAAATAAATTAGCATTCGCAACTATTAAAATCTCGCCCTCTCACGCCTCCCTTATTAAAAAAATAGATATATATTATTAACATATAGAATTACTTTTTTATTTTCTATTAAAATTTTAAGATCTCTATTTTAAAATTTAAAGCGCTATTTATACTTTTCGAATTTTTAAAAATCTTAAAATTTAGTCTTATAATTATTAAAGCGTAAGGAATTCAAATATTACTTACTAAAGTTCGCTCGATAGCCGGACAGCCCGCTCACCAAAGTTCGCTCACTAAAGATCGCTCACCTATTCACTCGATAGCCCTGATCAAAAAAATGATTATGAATTTAATTTATAAACCTTTACTCGTTAATTTTAATATAATATTAAAAATCTAATAAAATAAAGATATTTTATATATTTTATTTTTATTTAATAATTAAAAATATTTTTAAATTTTTAAATTTAATAAAATTAATTTAAATTAATTAAAAGTTTAATATTAATATATTTAAATATAATATTATTTATAAAGAATTAATTTAATTTTTAAAATTTAATAAAATAAAGTTTTAATAAAAATTTAAATTTAAAAATAATATTTATAATATAGAAAAGTTTAATAAAATAAATAATATTAATAATATTAGCTTTATTCTAAATTTAAAAGGCTCTTTATTTAAAATTAACTTTAATAATAATTTAAAAATAAATTAATATAATATAATGATAAAATTAATATAAAAAATTAAAATATACTTATTATTTATATTATTAATATTTAAAATATTTATAATTATTTAAAGCGTATAAAGAAAGCTTTATTAAACTTTAAGATTAACTTAATATAATTTAAAATATTATTTAAAAAAAAAATTATATTATAATTTCTAATATAATTTATAATATAATTTATAATATAATTTATAATATAATTTATAATATTTTAAAAAGATAGATTTTAATTTATAACTATTAAGAAAAAATATAATATAAATATATAATAACTTAATAAAAAATTATCTTTTTTTATACTTAAAAAAGAGTTTAATTAAATTCTATTTTTTATACTATTATCGCGATTATCTTAATTATCTTTTATTATATTTATAATATAATATCTTCTATTAATCAACTCATTTATTAAAAAATTAATTAAAATTAAATATAAGATTACTTATAATTTCACTTTACTCGCTTATTAAATTTAATTAAAATTTCTTTATAAAATTATTTTATTTTTATAAATATAGAGAATAATTATTCTTTAATCGCTATAATAGAAAATAATTTTTCTTTATATATTAATATATTAAATATATAAAAAATTAGTTATTTTCTCTTTTAATATTATATTATTATTTTAAATTAAATTTTAATCTTTATTATAAAAATTATATAATAAAATAATAAAATTTAATTATTCATTATGAATTTTTAATATAACGAAGTATAAAAATAAAAATAAAATATTTTTTATTTTTAGCGTATTTTATTTAATATAGAAAAATTAATAATATTTTAATAATTATAATAGCTATATAATAAAAAGATATAAATATATAATATTTTATTTTAATATATAATAGCTTTAATATTATATAATTAAATATAATATATTTTAATTTATTTAAGATTATTTTATATTAGAAATAGTATAAAAGTTTATATATTAAATTATTAATTTAATATATTAATATATTAATAATTTCGATATAATTCTTTTTACTTATAATCTTTATTTTTTTTATTAAAAATATATTTAATATATATTATTTAAATAAAATAACTATTTTAAAATAAAAAATGTCTATATTATAAAGATTAATAAAAGAGATTCTTCGCGATTATAATTATTATTATTTAATAAATATTAATATAATAAATATATTAAAAGTAGTTATAGTTATAATAAATAATAAATAAATAATAAAATAATTAAAATAATTATCGAATAAAGTTTAAATTTATAATCTATTAAAATATAAAATAAAATATTTAATTATATTAATTATAGAGTTTTATAAAAGAAAAGAGTAATTAGATATAAATATATTAAGATATATTATATAACTATATTATATAATCGCTAAGACGCTAAAAGTTACGTAATCTAAATTTCAATAATATCTTATAAAATTAATAAAGAAACTTTTAATCTTTAATATACTTATATAAATTATTTAGAGTATTAGAATATTTGAAAGCTCGCTAAATTATTTAAGAGTATAAATCTTATTAAAAAAATTATAAAAACGAAGTTTTATATTTTATATACTATTAAAAAAATAAAGAATACGCTATATAAACTTTATATTCGTCTTAAAAAAAGATTAAATAATTTAATTTATAGCGATATCTATAATTTTATTATCTCTCGCGACTTGAATAAAGAGAAATACTTTATTATCTTTCTAAATAACTATAATAAACGCTTTATAATTAAGATTATTAAATAAAAAAGTAATATCTTTATAAATTTTAAGCGTTTTTAATTTCGTAATAAATATAATAATTATATTATTAGATATTTATAAAGCGATTATAAAGGCGAGTATAAGAATTATAATTTTAATATCTATTATATTAATTATAATATTATTTAAAAGCTAATTTAATTAGAGAATTTAAAATAAAATAAAATAGTTAAATAACTTAATTAAATTCTCTTTAGTATTTTTAATATATTATAAAGAAGATTAATATTAATTAGAATATTTAATTAAAGTTTATAATAATAATAAACTACTTTTAAAATTATAGCTCTATTATAAATTATAAATTTACTTTATATAAAACTTATATTAAATATAAAACTTATTTATTATATATTAAATATATTAAAACTAAGAGTTTTACTATAATAAGAAAATTAATTCTTAAATAAAAGAAAGAATAATATCGCGTTTAAAAAGATATTCTTATAAATTATAATAATAATTATATTTATCGAATATTATTATTAGATAATAGTATTATATATTTATTAAAAAATATATAAAATAAAAAAAAGAACGAATTTTTATCTAATTTAATATTTTTTTAATTATTATCTTAAATAATTTAATTATAAGAGAAAATACGCTTAGATCTATAGCGTTTTTTTTAATTAAAAATTTTCTTTCTATAAATATAATAGATATAAATATATTTATTTAATTATTTAGATTTATTTTAAGGCCTTTAAAGCTTATAATAACTTCTCTTAATTTTAATATAAATATTTCTATTATTACGTCTCGATTTATCTTAATAATATAAAATAATATATCTTTATATTCTAATTATTCTTACTTAATTTCTTAAAATCTCTTTTTAAATTCTTTTATACTTTATATTATAATTATTTAAATTATAAA